GGAGCCTTCTCTTCTCCAGGCTGAACAGCCCCAACTCTCTCAGCCTCTCCTCACTGGAGAGGTGCTCCAGCCCTCGGATCATCCTCGTGGCTCTCCGCTGGACACGCTCCAGCAGGTCCATGTCTTTCTTATGTTGAGGACTCCAGATGGGGTCTCACGGATGCAGTACTCCAGGTGGGGTCTCACGAGAGTGGAGTAGAGGGGCAGAATCACCTCCCTTGCCCTGCTGGCCACACTTCTTCTGATGCAGCCCAGGATCCGGTTGGCCTTCTGGGCTGCAATTGTACATTGCTGGCTCATGTTGAGTTTCTGGTCAATCAGCACACCCAGTTCCTTCTCCTCAGGGCTGCTCTCCAGCCATTGCCCGCCGAGCCTGTATTTGTGCTTGGGATTGCCCCAACCCAGATGTAGGACCTTGCACTTGGCCTTGTTGAACTGCATGAGGTTGGCTTGGGCCCACCTCTCCAGCCTGTCCAGGTCCCTCTGGATGGCATGTTTTATATGGCTTTTGTTTCATTTCCTTCCGGGCCTGTTTATATCGAGTATCGAGGGGTTGGCTACATGTGAGCAATTACGAACTGAGGGCTAAAGATGACATTTCTGTCGGTTGGTCTCATTTTACGAGACAGATTAATCTATGCGAATGCACCAGGCGCAAATCTAATCAAAACACACAAAGCTGGTGTATTTATAGATCGCCTCGATTGTAAGTCTCTGTTGGGTGGCTGGGCGAGATGGCGTTCCTCCTCGTGCTCTCCCTTCTGCTCTCCCTTACTCCAGCGCACGTCTCGCCGCCGGGAAGGGCTGTGTGGGGTGCTGGGCAGGCTGCCTCCCGAAAACAAAGGTTTACAAGGAGGATGCAGTTCTGATCCTGCATTTTATGGTGGCAAATCTCTCCCGACCGCAGCAGGAGTCTCATTTCCGCTTTATGAGGAGCAAAGAATCAGGCACTCGTTAAATAATGTTTGGAATGAAGTATTGGAATATGTAGAGAGGGCGCATTAGATGATTCGAGGGCTGTGAAAATGCAAGTTCACATGAATGAACTACATCTACATTTGAGTACAGATGTGTGTATGCAACATTGCATTTCATGTGTAGGTTCCAACTCAGTATCCCTCAAACAAATGAAAAGCTCCTGCTAAACGCTCCGTACAGTAAAATGTGTAAAAGGATAATGTTGCAGTCACCTTTACTTAATTTGTACATCTATTGATACAGTATGTAAAATATCATAACCATTAAAAATGTAATGATTTTCGAACGGTTAATGAGGGTTCCCAAATAAATTGGAGTGTCTCCATCTGCTGTCTTACATTGTGGGTGATACTTTTCCATGGTAGAATGGACTTCAAATTTAATTCCGTGAGGAAGGAATCTGATCACAGTTTAATTTCAGTGCAAAATGCTGTCTTGCAATCAATACAGCAATGTCAAAGAACCTTGATTTAATAGGAGGCAGAGATAACGTTCACTGTCATATGCAGAATAGAGAGATGGGAACATTTCATTTCATTGTAACAGATAGCGTGCAACTTGGTTTTCAGAAAAACCTAATAAATCAATATCCCTGTATTATCTAAGTAAGATCCCGTCATTAATTTTAAACGCTTAACACGTTGGGAGTGTCTGAAGCGCACCTTCAGCGTAACCACGTTCAGCCTGAAGTCAATGGCAACGCTTCCCTTTTCCTACGAGCAAGCAATCTCGGTCTTGGGAAGTTAGGAGTCATTTACTACGGAATGAAAATGAAACATGTCCAGTCTTTTGTTTTATATGTACTAGTCTGGCTCATGCCTGCTTCCTCTCCTTTTAAACTTCAGTCCGTGTTCTACTAAAGTCTCACTGCTTGTCACCTGCCCTGCACACGCTCAGCCTTTTCTCTTCTATACACATGCATCCTCTCCGGGTTTGAATTTTAAATTTATTTTAAAAAAAAAACAAAACCAAACCTCTAAAAATAACTGGTTGTTTAGAGATTGCCTAGATACCACGCTGATTTTCAAAATGTGCTTTTCTCCAAACCAGCAGGGATCTGGACCTCAAAAGAATTCTTTGTGAGGCTTTGCCTGCTCTCAGAAATAGCATTATCCCTAGATGATACAAGAGCGGGTCAATATATCAGAAGGCAGAAATTCATGCTAATAGATTGTTTGAGATAAACTTTTCAAGGACTTTATTCTAAGTATAAATTGTTAAGTATTAGTTTGGTAATAAAATGCTATTTAAGCTGAAGCGGGAATGATGCTGGCACTCTGAGATGTGCTTCTCGGAGCCTCCGATTCCTGTCCTGGCTCTGGGGAGAATTTTACTAATACATTTAAAACAAAATTTAGTCTTTTTATTATTGCAATTAACAAAAGCGGGATTTTAAATAAGATGTGAACTTTCGCATTTAGCATTGATTTCAAGTTGGATTATTGCATTTCCATGAATTTTCTGGGAAAAAACTACATTTTTGGAGTTCTGTTACTGCTTTAAATGAAATCTGGCTTGCTGGCTGACGGTGAGTGTTGCAGAGATAAAGCAAGTCTGGTGTCAAATCTGAGAGAAATTGGGTATCTCAGCTCTGGCTCTGCAGCCCCTGCAGATGAGCCTGTCCCCAGGCTCGCCCTGTAGCCACAGGTAGCTGCTGCCGCTTCTTTTATACACCCAAAAACATTGATTCTGTACCTAGGATGCTGTGTAGGTAGTAACTAGGTAACGTGATATTTTCGACTGAATTATATCTCACCAAAAGATACCAAGAAAAATAGTCTATTGAAGCCTTTAGTCAAATTATTAAAGCAAATCAGGTTTGGCTAAATTTTGACACGAGACTAGGCTTTAAGAGTTCCGATAATAATTTATTTTGATACTACTGTTTGGTTTAATTCTGTAGGTGCATTGAGAATCCAGGTAAAGCACCAATGAAAGAGAAATTATACAGGTTTTTAATGGAACATTTTGATGGATATTTCCTACTGTGTTGTTTTTTTTTTAATAGCTACTACAGCACCACCACGCAGTTCATGAAATTTCATACATCGCAAAGGATATCACAGACCATCGAGCGTTTGGATACGTATGTGGAAAGGAGGGAAATCATAGATTTGTGGCAATAAAAACAGCCCAGGCAGTAAGTATCAGATCACTGTCATTTTCCACAGTGTAACTCAATAGAAAAGCCATGTTCATAAGAAGCTCTTCAAGAAGCCAGTGCTGCATTGTTTGTGATTGTGCTAGACTTGTCACAAGTGTCTGCTGATGTGTTCTTAAATAGCAAATTAATGAAACCAGCTTGGGAAAAAGGAATGTATTTTGCTATTTCTGTTTTTTCAATATGTATTTTTTTTATAATTAATTATTTGTTTTCCTTTGTAACTAAACTAGATTGAATACAGATAAGTTTGTGTTTATTCCTATATGCATTTATGCAGAAAGCGATAGATACCAAATAGCTACTTTACATATAGACTACCGTAATTCCACTGTATGAGGAACCACTAATAAATATGCCTTTATATTCATGTATATGCCTTTTGTATTCATAATGCCCTTTAGATTAATAATTATAATTATCATTAATTTGCAAAGGTAGTTAGTTTGATAGAAATTAACCCGAGCCTGGATGCCAAGGTAGAAATTAACTCTGTATGAAGTTCTCTCTGACTGTGGGGATGCTATAACTGCTCTATCAGCAGGATGGGATAAGAGGAGTGTATTTTCCCATATAAAAACTTTCTTTCCTGTTTTTGTTTCCATAGGCTGAACCTGTAATTCTGGACTTGCGAGACCTGTTTCAGCTCATCTATGAACTGAAACAAAGGGAAGAAATGGAAAAAAAGGCCCAAAAGGACAAGCAGTGTGAACAAGCGGTATACCAGGTACACGCATAAGCTTAGACTACTGCCAAGAAAAGTATGGTTTGGAGTATCTCCCCAAAGTTGCTCCAAAGAGGCACTGAGCATCCTCAGCATTTCTTAACAGCAATGGGTTTGAACGGTGCTAGCTTCAAACGGACAAACACGAACCTAACAGCCATCGTGAGCTCAGAAGTAGGATTAAACAGTGATGAAAGCTATCACTTGGGGTATGATGAACACGTCTAGCAACTGGAAATGATCTATTCATTTCCCATGTAGTATTTCTTCTAATTCAGGAGGAAAACTTTAATACGAAGGTCAGTGTGTTGTAAGTCAGGTTTTTAACAGTGTCTAGTACTTTAGGGAAGATGCACTATACTTCTGAATGTGTGTTTTTAAATCAAATCAAACAAGGTGCAGATTGTTAAACTCGGATGAAACTTGAATAAAGTTACTTTGTACAATAATGTGACTTTATCTGTATACTAAAGAAAGAAAACTTTATACTTACCTGCTCATTTTGCTTATTTCTTTGCTGTCCTTTAATTTCTGAATACAATTCTTTTATCTCTACTGTTTATGTTCTTTGCTTTTACTGCCTGTCCTCTTACTTTGCTGTAGACAATTTTGGAAGAAGATGTAGAAGATCCTGTGTACCAGGTAATTTCTGAAGCTGTGCGGCCTTGGAGTTTCAGAAATAACTAGATATATGTTATCTACAAGCACCTCCAAGACCTTTAATAAGATGTTTTGAAATTTACTGAGATGAGTCTTCTGAGAGAATTGTAAGATTTTTACAGAAAGTAGCATATTTAGAGATGGGGCTGTAAGTAATAGCACAATGTGTCTGATAGAAATACTAGATGAAATATTTCCTTAAATATTTCCTAAAATGTGGCTTGTGAGTCCCGATTTTAAGTGTCCGAATGAGATTTGTCATCATTTTTTAAGGTAAACTCTAACAGAAAGGGAGTTACTTTGAGAATAAGGAAGGTGACATCTTGTTCTGATAGGAATAAATTGACATTTTGGTTTTGGCTTTGGCTTCTGTGGGGCCAGAATTTAATTCAGAGGGTGAATATTTGGAAAAAAACAACAGTGGAATTGATGTTATAACACACTCCCTTGTTGGTGGCATTTGGGCTATGATTTAATAATAGATCTGAAATTTAAGTCTTGTTTCATCCAAGCAAAATGTCCGGGAGCAAAGATGATTATCAGAAATATGTCAATATATTCATGTCTGATACCCTACTGAGTGTGAAGCAGGAAAAGATGTAATTTCATTCTCATGTTTTTGTGCTGAAACAAAATACATGATAGTTTACGTTGTTTTTTTTTTCCTGGAGATTTTGTGTTCTTCCACTTAGGCATGTCAGTGGGAGGCACGCTGAAAGAAACTGATTCAACCATTAGTGAATATTGAACAGTGCCTAAGGTGCAGCAAGAAAGATGATAAGAATTAGGGTGCCCTACATTACTATTCAGCTTTTATAATGTCAGGAGTTTTACTTTGTGCTCTTCGCAATCGAGCAAGAACCTGAAAATGAGAAGTGTTGTGACGGCCTCGTGCCATGTGGCCTGTTACGTGAGCACCAGCCTATTGTCCCACTTTGGATTTAGCTTCTTTATTCATAGATAATAAAGATATGTGGAAATAATTGCCATTATGTAAAAGAGGCAAAATTCACGTTGACTTCAGAAAATTAATATTGGGCCACAGGCGGTCTCCCTGGTGAGAAAGAATTAGGAAGTTGCTGTAATGATCATTAGAGGAGATTTAGGTCTATTCGTTGCTGGTTTATGAAATATGAAAGAACCTTACTCTGCGCTTTCCAACAAACCGGTTGTCCTGCTGCCAGCCTGTACTTTGAACTTGTTTCTTTAATGCCTGCCTATGTTTTTACGTGGAATTCCAAATCGCCTTTTTCCCTTCTGTTTCATCTTTGACTTTTCCTCTCTGGCGGCTGGTGTAATAGTACATTGTGTTTGAGGCTGGACACGAGCCAATCCGTGAGCCTGAAACGGAAGAAAACATTTATCAGGTATAAAATCGCTAACTTCGGTGTTTTCATTGCCACGGTTGCAAGCATTTAGTAAAGTACATTTCATATATAGTTCACATTTATTAGTTTTCATTCATCACAAAAACGTCTGGCATTTCATTCTGATGACATAACGTGAATAATAATCTGCCCAGTCTCAGTGTGATTTTCTGTTGTCATTTCAGCTTCTGCAAATTTTAACTTTGTCAGCTTACGAAGGGTCTTAAACTTAAACACCATATAAGGTGATAAATAGTGGATTCTCTTTTTTTCCTGTTAATTTTTTGCAACATTTTACACCTATTCTAAGAAACGGATACTGAGATCTCATGGAGGACAGACCATCCACGCAATTCTTAGAAGGATATTTCGATGGTAGTGCTCTTCTTTCTGGCTAACCAAAGGAATAACTCAGCCAAACCTGTGAGCTCTCAATTGGATATCCCCCAGACTGGGGAAAATATTTTCGGAATGCGTATGTTATGTTAGAGCCCAAGCTTGCATTCTTCACACTGACAAAAAATTGCATTGAAAGCAATATAAAATAATCTTTTGTCATTCAATTTATCCTCAAGGGATCGGTACAGGGTTTATTAAAATATAATGTAATTCATTTTGTATCACACACTAGAGGCAAATCTGGAGATAGACAGAAATCTCTGTATGCTGTAAGAAAATTGTGATTTGAGGAAATCATTTAGTATGGAGTGGAAGGAGATGCAAGCAGTGATTAAGCATTTCATCTAGCTGTACTAGAGGTTGATCTCCTAATAGGAAAAGCTTTTTTAAGGTAGACAGGAGCAGGGATAGAACAAGAAAAAAAAGGGAAAGGTATTTTTTTGAGTAATAGAAAAGGTAGGAAGATAATAGAAAAAATGAAAGGGTAGAGTAGCTGTAAGCCAAAATAGAAAGAAGCTAAGTGGGAAAGGGAAATGCAAGTTAAACATTAGAAAATAACCATCTTACAGACCCCACCACAGGGTCATTAAGATAAGATTCATTTAACCTGTGTCTGTTAATTTCCTGGCACCCCACCACCCACACTGCATCTTTTCTGCATCTGTAGACCAAGACATGCAAAGCTCTCCAGGTGAGAGTGTGCCTAAGGTGGGCAATTTCCTACCGCATAGTGTTGAAGGTTTGAGTAGTTTCAGGAAAGCAATCTCTTAATAAATGACTACTCTAATTGTCAGTTTTGTGCTAGAAACAAAATTCTTAGGACTACTGCATTGAGACCAGAAATTTCTGGTTGTCATTCCTCAAAGTGCAGAACTTTTAGTGACGTCGTAGAGAAACACCAGTGGAAGCAAGAAAAACAGTGTCTTGGCTCCCAGTGTTTGGAGATCTTAGAGTAAACAGGTGGTTAGGGAAGAACCAGGAACTGTGTTCTGAGCAATGGCCTAAAGAACAGGAGGACTTTTAGGACAATTTCTTTTTCTTAAAATGGAAATAGAAGGTGATAAGCTGATAGTGAGGTCTTGCCTCATCTCAAGGTACTGCCGTTACTGTCCTGTAAGTCACCAGAGAATTGCTCAAGGCTTCGTTTGGCAGTATCTGGACATGAAGAAGTGTTTCCTCCCACGGTGGTGCACAGAAAATACCAATCATTGATACACCATTACTCTCAGTATATGCAGTCTAGCGTTGTCATTTCCTTTATTTAATACAGACAATACTTTGAACACAGTGAATGATTAGGGAGCTGGGAGTCTTTTTCTGTTATCTATTCTAAATGACGGATGTTGAAGTATCGCTACTGTAGACTTTGCCCAGAGCTGTGAGCTCCTGAGTTCCCAAGGACTTTGTGAGGTCTTGGCTTGCTATTAAATCTGGGTTCCCTCAGCTCAGATCTTACATCACTGGCAAAATTGTTTCTCGTATGAGATCTTGATGATCTCAGAACCATCCAGGCTACTATTAAAAACTAAATTAGAAAATGTCCTCTTTTCATTTTATTTTTGCGTGGTGGGGTTTTTTTCAGTTTGATGCACATGGGTGCCAGCTTCTATTAGTTACTACAAAGCCTTTCCCATACTACGTTTTGGTATATGTGTCTGCTCAGTAACCTCCTGCGTTCTTGCTTCAGTCTCACCAAATCTTTCTTCTGGTGCTGCTCTAGTTTTTCAGCCAAGAGCTGCTATGCAAAGAATTCACTTCTCCCTTGGTTGGAAAAGATTGCTACCCAGTGGGTAACTGGAGAGGGAAGATACGTGCCAAAAGTGACAATTTCTATTTCTTTTTAACATAGTAGAGGTCACAGTTTTCTTTTTAAGCATTCTTTCTCTGTCTGTCACCTTTCCTTGATACATTACCCCAAAGACTGTCTGTCTCTGTCTCCTCTTCTAATATTGTCTGTCTATATAAGTTGCTCTCATGTGTTAGTTATGCAAGGATTTGATCACTGAGCATGTACCGATCCTCTCACCTAATGTCAGATTTCTTAATAGCATCTCTTTTCCTGCCCGTTGTTTTAGTGAGGCGGGGATGGGATTTTGCTAGGTGGCTTTGTATGGTGTGTCTAGCAGCACTGGTCTCCGTGGAGTGGCGAGTTCTGCTCCATCAGGAGTTGGCAGTCTGATACGGGGGTTTTGGAGTTGCGGTGCTTGTATTGCTGGTAAAGATGCAAGTACGTCAAAATGGTTCACAGCCTGTCACAGAGCCAGAGCTGTCAGCAGCACTAGTGCTGGTACCCCTTTGCTGATATTGCTAATCAACAAAAAAAACAGGAGAAATCCCTTGCAGACCCCCAGTCTAAGTAGCGATGCGAAAAACCATGATGATAGACGGCTAGTAAAGACAACAGGAAGACAGGCGGTATCGAAGTGGGAGAGAAAAATGTCTTTCAGAAAAGTTTCTCTGTCTTGATATTACAAGTCAGAAGCTTTTCTCTGATGTAATTATAAGCTGGAGAAAGAGAAGGGGGATGGATAGCTCAGGGAAACGCTCATTCCATAATAAGCTGTGGATAGGAGTGTGCAAACTGGAGTGACTTCATGGAGAAGTTGACTGATGGGGAAACTTTTCAGAGAGAAAAGAAAAATATGTGCTGCTGATAGTTTATAGTTAGTTTATCTTACCACGTTTGTCCTCTTTTTATGAAGGCTAAGCTTTCCAGTGGCTTACTAAGTACACCATTCTTGGTTTCTGCTCTTGCACTGTTGCTTAAGAGTCTGTAAAAAGAGAGCACTTTATTTCCATGCAATTCAATTGTTCCACTCTTACCAGTTTCACGTTATCTAATGTCATAGGTGGTTTCAGTGGAAGAAGACAGTACATTGAGAAAACCAAGGCAAGCACGTCATTCCCGGGATAGGAATAGATCTTTTAAAAAGCTTGTTCGGTTTCCATGGGGGTTCTACACTCAGGCTTTTGAAGAAATTCTGCATTGTGCACCAAGTTTAAGATTTCCCATGAAAACTTTGACGTTTAAACATGGGCAAGAGAATGTTTGAACAGTAGAAAGAGGTTTTGTTACACTGTACAGCATAAGAAATGATAGCACATCTCAATGAATAAGTAACATTCCTTCTGTTTCCGCTAAACCAAACCTACTCTAATATCAGAACTCTAAGATACTTACTGTCTTAGAAAACAAAAACGTAATCACTTTTTTGTCATAGCTGCGGTATTATTTCTCCTGTTAACCTGTGAGGTTTCATTAACATCTGAAATGTAACCTTCTTATGCTGAACGCCCTTGTGCAGTGGAAAAGTGGCACTGATTTACTTAGAGCATTCGTGTCTGTTTAGAGCATGCTTTTACTGTTCTTTTTGCTTGTGTCATTTCCAATAGATGTTCGGTGCTTTTAGGAAGGAAAAGAAATACAATCACAAATTATAAATAAGCAAACCAGCAGTCCTTAGGCAAGCAAAGCCCAGTATTACAAAGCAACTGAATTTACATGAGCAGGTTATAAATGTCCAAGGGGTAAATCACGACTGTTGACTTGAGTAAAGGCTCGCCCAAAGTTTTTTTTTTTAAGTGCGTCACCCCCTGTCCATGCGAGGCTGTTGGCTTCAGCTCCCTGGCTGTGTCAGACCCTGAGAGGCCATTAATTCCTCAGTAAAATTGCAGAATTGTAACCAAACATCGCTTAGAGCAGCTGAAGGGCCCCGTCACTGCAGGGCTACATTATGACTTGAATTGACTTAGATTATTAAATGAATTGGAAGGAAGAAATCTAATGCCATAGGCCAAACTTCTCTTTCCCCCAGAACGGCAGCTCTACTCTGGATCTCTGCCATGGAGGAAGATGACATGCTGACCTGATCATGATTTCCATGTGCATCTTCTAACCCCCAAGTAAAATGAAAACCAGTTAAGTAGGAAGGAGATCCAAGTGCACCTGGCCTTAATGCAGCCAAGCCTAACTGAGAATGAAAATCTCATTTCTAAACACTACTGGGCTTTAGGATTTGAAAAAAATCAGATAGATGTTTTATTTCTTCAGTGTCGTCTCCATTAATGGTACTGCTTGGATGAAAAGGGAACCATTTCATGATTTCATTCGTATTAAATGACTACCCTGTACGTAAATATCAATTGCAGTTTTCAATTTTTCATCAAACCTGCTTGGGTAATGACCTTAGTTTTCATTTGCTGTTGCAGGTTCCTACCAGCCAAAAGAAGGAAGGTGTTTATGACGTGCCAAAAAGTCAACCTGTAAGTGTAAGTATCTTCCCTATTTATGTGCAGTAAAGAAGATGTGGTTTTTAGCTTCTGTGACTTTCATTGTTGTATGTAACATTTGATACATTCCTCATGATGGGAATTTTATCAGTGATGTGTTAAAGGTTGATTGGGTTGGTTTGCAGTAACCAGGACCGTAATGTCACGTATATCCATCTCGTTCATTACTTAAATCTCCTTTCTGTCTTGTCTGACTCATTCTTATGGAAGTCACCGTTTATAAATGTGTTACCTGCGGTTAAGAGTTGACAATGACCCTTCTGCATGTTAATGCATGTGAATCGTTGCTGCCTGGATTAGAAGGGTTCTTCTATTACCCAACGCTGTACAAGGCTTATCACTCTGAGGGAGCACGGGCTGCATTTTCTCCCCCGTGCACTTTCAGAGGTGTATTTATATATCGTGCTCCTTACAGCTTGCTTTAGTCAGGCAGCAGGGGAGGCAAGGTGTGGATAGAGCAGAGGTCGAGAGACGTAGCATTAGGAAAAGGTATGTCAGAGCGTCATCTGTCACCTCTATGGTGATTTTCTGTGGCTATAATGTCTACAGCTCTCTGAAGACTTCCTGGTGAATACAGTGTGCTCATAGGTAAAGGTTTCAGAAGGAGCTTCAAATCAAATGTTACCCGTAAAAATAGGAATTTGCATTAGAATTACTTTTCTGTCACTTGGAAAAAAAACAACCCCAACCAAACAAGTTACATCAGAATCCAACCCAACATACACTATAGAAAAGCAATTATTTTTCCAATAAAACCAACTTCTATAGTAGATTAGTAAGGGCTGTAGAGTTGTAGGGCAGAGGTACGTGTCATTGTCATCAGTTTCAACAGTGTGCAGAAAGACCTCGCTCAACAAATTCCTAAGTGGCAGAATCTTTGCTATACGTACTGCATTGCTTTCCTGGTTATTATGGGCTGTAATCAGCACAAGGAGATTTCCTCCCGATATTACTACGTATTGTTTCTGCAGTGCTCTAAGTATACAAGTTCCCAGTGACAGGAGAAGAGGTAACGGGCACAAACTTGACCATAGGAAGTTCCATCTAAACATGAGGAGGAACTTCTTTGAGGGCGACGGAGCACTGGCACAGGCTGCCCGGAGAGGCTGTGGATCTCTTTCTCGTGAGATCTTGAGATCTTTAAAAGCCACCTGGATGCGTTCCTGTCCAGCCTGTTGTAGGTGACCCTGCTCTGGCAGGGGGTTTGGACTGGATGATCTCCAGAGGTCTCTTCCAACCCTGGCCGTTCTGTGATTCTTTGAGCCTAAGGGGCAGTATAGACTGTAAACTTAATTGTTTCTGTCCCGTGCCTTGCATGGATGGTTGACTCTATTCAAAAATAAGGGTAATCTGCTGTTGTATCCAAATGGCACCGTTCCCACTCTGTCTGTTGGTGTTTTGAAGAGGTGAAGCATTTATTCCCAGAACGTGTAAGAAAGGGTAACAAGTGGTTGAGAGAAGAAGTGGAGTGACAGATGCCTTAGCAACAAGGTGTGCATTTGCTGAAGGGCAGGTTGTACTCTTTAATATAAATTTGTGCTATAAACACCTCGAGAAATTGTTCGATTGCGTTGGTTGTACACAAAATTAGTATTTCTGAGGATTTGTGTGGGAATGGAGAAAAACAAAGGAGAAAGGCAGGAGTTTGTCTGCTGTAAGCATGGGAAAAATGCCTGTATTCAAGAGGGAGAAAGAGAGACTCCTTTCGCATAAGGATGTGGTAAATTGCACAGCTTGGGCTGAGCACGGAGACGGAGATGCTGAATAAAAAAGATAAATGCTGGGGAGGGGCTGGATGGGGGCCCGAATTGTGACACTTCTGTGGTTTGCACAAACAAACAAAACTTGCCATAAATATTTCATGATAAGCCACTGGGAGGAGGGAGACATCATCATGTTGCCTGGGAAAATCTAGTAAAATAACTCATGTTGCATAACTAATTAAGGTGTTTGTGCACAAGGAATAGCTGTAGATTTTTCACTCATTTCTCGTATAGTTCAGTGTTACAATTTTTCTGCTGTACGTTTCCTGTGACTTTTTTATTATTCCTTCAGCAGTGTTTCAAATTTACTCTGGGTATAGTCTGTAATTTAGGTCGTTGCAGTATGACTGGGTGTACAGTACACATGCAATCATGTCTGCAGACACTTTAGTATTAGTCTGTCCTGGTAAAGAGCATGACTGTGAGATATAGGGCATATGGAACCTACTCTGTAATCATCAAATATATTAAATCTGTCATCTCCATGAAGCTGGTTGCAGACCTAATTTTTTTTTTTTTTGGCTATTTCATGGTTAAATTTAAAGTGATTAGAGCTTTTTCTCCAAATAAGTTATGTACTTTATGAAGAAAAAGGGGAGAAATAGAAGAGGAAGAAATATGTCGCTGAGGTTTTTGTTTCACCTTTTTATTAGTATGTATTAAAAAAAAAAAAAGAAATCAGCAATAGCTCTTAAAATTAGCAATTTAATATTCCACTGCCCATCTGATTTATTGCTCACCCTTCCACATCTGAGACTCTCTGTCATTGAGACACTTGCCGTAATTTTTTTTTCAATTTATAGCTGTCATTATTATATAAACCTCTAAAATTCAATCTGAGGGCAAATAATCTAGCTCATCTACCTGGTTTAAACATATAAGGACACTTTTTTTATTAGGAGATCTTGCTTTCATTAATTTCTTAATGGGCGAATAAAGTGAGAAACTTTTTGTAGCTCCTAATAGGTTTCAGGCACCATGAATTCTCTTTCCCGACAATAAATACAACACTTAATAAAAATGCAGCAAGTTTTGCTTGAGTTCGAATGGAATTGCTCATGTTCCCTGGACAGAGATCAATTTTCCATCTTGGGGTTGGTTTCCTCTGGTGTGTTCTCAGGCAAGTTATCTCTAGTCTCCGCACATAAAAGTGAGGGATACTGAAGTAATTGTCTAGGTGCCCTCCACCCTTGTCTCTCTGTAGCCAGTGGAGAGAAATAGCCGCTTCATGGGGAAGTTCCTTCTGTCTGCATGAGGTGTCCTCTCAGGTGGAAATAAAGGTATGTCTGGATATCATTCTTTTGTGGCTGCAGAGGAACTTTAAATGACTTGCAGGTATGATAACTTCTAAATAGTTAGGCTTAGGTGGGGTGAGGTCTACCACAGCGTGAAAACTAAAAGCCAGAATCCATTTTCCAAAGGTTACTTCGAAACTGGGAAGTGTAATTGATACTGGTTTGCAGTAAGATATAGCTTCTTAAGAAACCTGGACCGTTCGGGCAAATATTGCTTTCTCAGTGCGTATGGGATCCCATTGGGGCTGAAAACGTGAAGCATCTTCCTGGCGGTGCCATGAAGCAAAAGTGTTCAACATTGTAGAACATCGAGATAGCTGATGTACTTTCACAATGCTGTGTCGTTGTGTGAGACCATTTGTCAGAAGGTGTCAGAGTACTTTATAGTGTGACTCCTCATGATCTCTGGTATCAAGTAATGTAAATACAGTGCAAATGAGGCGGAAAGGAATGAGTCTCGGATCTCAGAATTTCAGCGTACCCACTGAACTCAATTATGAGTGGTGGCTGGTTGCCAAGTCACTTCTCTGACATTGGGATGAAAAGATTGCTTACTCAGTATAATTCTTGTATTTCCCCATCTCTTTGCTGCATCCCTTCCCAGCAAATCCTACTGTCCTGTAGATTTCCTCTGCTGGGCATGCAGCTTAGCTCCAAACACACTTTTCACGATATCCAGTATCATTCCGGTATCGCTCCCTTCCTCTGGATCAACTCACAGTTCTTGTATTCATTCCTATTTTCTCTCTGCTCCTTCCCTGGACCAATTCTCCTATTCTCTGCTCGATGAGAATAGACATCAAGCCAGACAAAGAAAGCAAGCTTACCCCAAAGAGCTTGTGTTAAGTGGTACACGCTCCGCTTAGAAATTGTAGTTCTGTATGTGAAATTAACTGTTGTAAAAAAGTGAAATGTTTAATGAGCTCTTTTTGTCATAATTTCCCATCGTCTCCCCATTATGCACCCACATCAAGTCCTACCTGTCATGGTGTTTTTAGTAATAAGAGTCAGACTGTAAATACCCTTCATGGAGACTGTCAGTCACATCACAATAAAACCTTCTCGTCTCATCAGAATGTCTAAACTATCTGCTTACAATTTTATGAAGGCTTTCAAACAACTCGTCTTACTGCTGTGTAAAGATTCGAGGCATTAGCGCTGATGCCTTACAACGCAGGCAGTGGCTGGTACCAACGAGGTGGAAAACATTAACAAACCAGGCTGGAATGGAGAGGGAGGAATTTGGCTGCCTTAGGGGTAAGGCATGGGAGGAGCAGATGAGCGTGCTCAGATCTAGAAGCCGTAAGGGCTGCCCGACCCTCCTGCCCGAATTAGGAAGCTGCCTTTGGGAAAACTCAATTTTAATTCTGGCTGGGATGCCAGTGCCAGTCGCAGGTCTGATTTGTTCATGTTTCGCCTCAGAGGAATTGTGCCCGGGGGCACCTGGGAGGCATGGGCAGCCCTGGGCGCCACCAGCTCCTGAGGAAAGTCAGTCCCTGGAGAAACGGCCTACCAAAATGTCTGGCAATAAAGTAGTTCAGAGCAGCTTTTCGGATAACTCTCACCATCCTCTACAAAGTAAATTCTGACTATGATACTTGGTCTGGAGAAGAGCTTTGTAACGCTGGCTTTTCCCGAAGTTTGCGTCAGTGACTTTACAGAAAGAACTTGCCAACCGGTGGCATTGACTTCAGCCTCCACAATCACGCTTTCAGGATCAAATTTTCAAATGTGAGAAGCAAGAGAATGCCCAGACCCAGTCTCTGACCACCTGTGCTGGCAAAGCCATCCATTTTTATTTACCTTTGCTGAAAGACACACCTGTGTTCACATGCCCTGGCTTAGTTACACTCAATCAAACCTCATCTGTGAGGTTTAACATTGTGGTGTGGGACGTGCCTTTTTAACAGACACAGCTACT